GTGTGTGTGTGTGTGTGTGTGTGTGTGTGTGTGTGTGTGTGTGTGTATCTCATGTGATAACTAAGTCGTGATCAAGCACACCAAACAATGGGTTAACTGGGTTGCAGGTCCCCTATGTGTGTGTGAGACAATAAGTATGCTGGACTGGCCAAGTGGTCATCTTCAGGTGATAAGACCCCCTGTGTGTGTAAGACACCCCCTGGTGGGGCAGAACTTGGGATATGCTTAAGTGTGTCCAGGTGTGGGCTAGTGGGGCTTTGTTGAAATGTAAATAGGTCGTCTGGTTGCCTGGGAGATGCAGACATTCAAAAGTTGCAGAAAGTAAGCAGATTCTACCTCATTCAAATTGTAAGACATATAAGCAAGGAGAATGACTGTATTAGAAAATAACCAGGGCTCAGTAATGCACAATAATCAATACAGCTGTAATCGGGTAAGATAAAGTTATGAAAGGTAACTAAAGGGAACTAAAGGCATGAGAAGTAACTAAAGCTGATAAAGTAACTAGAGTCTATAAGACTCAAATCTTACACTATGATCGTGTACTTAAATTTCAGGTCCATTGTATTGACTCCTTACCTTTGGCAATCTCAAATATACATGAGCTGAAGACAGTTTGTCCACATGAAACCTGGGGAAAACAGGAGATGTTGAGCCAAAATCATAAAATCTCTTAATATTCAAATTGACAATTCTATTAATTCTGCTTATCAATCATCCTTACGCATTATAGGAAATTACATTTGTAAACACTTAATGGTACTTTAAACACAACTAAAGTGTGAAACTTTACACTTTATCTAACATTCATTTGAAGCCACTGTACACAGTAGAGATCGGGGGATACTGTGTGAATAAATATAGAAAAATCTCACCAGATGTCTTCAGGCCAACCGTATTTGATTAGATCCTCATCTGAAAAACAATGTCAGTAACGTTACGTTAGAGGAGATGCGGCATCATTTTGACAAATACTTGTTCAACGGTGCAAATACAATAACCTGAGAGGCAGCTTGAGACAAAGGTTATACCAAAAGCATAGATGTGTAAAAGAAATCTTTTCCTCAATCTAACGACAATCGGCTAATCTTACTTTCATACTTGTCCTTTCCCGTGTATATTGTGTAGGGAGGGTCCACCACTGAGAGAAAAATTATTGAGTGAAACAACAAGATCAAATGGTACAAAACAAATAAAAGGCACAGACACGTTACAAAAATAAGCACAATGCCTAGCGTTACAGCTTTAGAATAACGCTACTGGCTAACGTTACAACTTTAGAGTAACGTTACTGGCTAACCAGGCCACTAGCTAAAACTGGATTTACTCACCGGCACTTGTAAAATAAAACACCATTTTCATTAAATATAACTTGCCACTAAAATCTGAATAGTAAGTGAACCTTGAACGCTAACAAACTAATTATGAACGCATCTAAATAGTATCAGGTCTAAGCAGACTGATACTGCTGCTGTCAGATCTCACGTATACAATTTGACCCGGGAAGTTATTGGCTAACCGTGTCAAGCTCCAGAGCTATGACCAAGACGTAGTACGTACTAAACAGGAAGGGCCAACATCTTTTCTCACAATAAAAGCTTGATATTGCTTACATTTCAACAGTGAAGTTTACGATTTAGTTTTATTCTGCACGTTTTGGTTAGCTGTTTGAAATAAGTAATCGTTTCAGCCACACATCTCTCTCTGTGCCTTTTAATACATATATTAAAATCTACAGAGTCTGTACACGCGTTATACCATATTGTTGAATTGGCATTTATGAAAGGAATATTTTTTTTTTATTTTGAAGTTTGAAGTTGACCAGACGTAACCTACGCTTTTACTGTGGTACTCGACTATATATTTGTTTCCGTTTCCGTGTGCATTTTTTTCAGAGTGTGGCGCGCGCTGTTCAAAGTACCGAGAAGAAACGCGGGGAGAAAGGTAACCAGCCCGGCTACAAACTCAGCGTTTAAACCAAGATTTATCGTTTTATGTAGCACGACAGAAACGCGTTCGGTAAAAAAAACGGAATCGTGTTTCATGGTTGTGTTTTTGATGCTTGTTTTTCTCGTTTATGGCGTTGTTACGCTGCGTTAAGATGTTGGCTAACGTTACGAACAATAACACCCAAATGTCGTTAGCGTTAGTTTTATTCAGAAAAACGTAGAGCTTGCTTAAGTTAATGTAGTAGTTAGTTGTTAGTCGACACCTTGGCTAGTTTATATTTGAAGCTGAAATTACCTTTGAATGAACTAATCATCCCGCCAATTATCTGTTCATCTCCCACTTTGCGCTTAAATGAACGCTTAGTTAGCTAACATGTAATGTTAAGCTCATGTCCACGTGATACAAGATAAAGTTAGGTGTCGTTTCACGCAAAGCGTTAAACTGAGAGTGCTGGTCATTGTCCTAATCTTTCAGTAAACGTCTGGGGATGTAGTTTGCTGGGGTGTCCTCTAGATTCACTTAGGGGGCAGTTGCGCTAAAGTCTTTCAGAATATCTGGCAATATGTGGCCGATGTGGGCGCTTAGTGAAGTCTTGTGTACATGAATTGAGTCCTGTATTTCAGTATATTTTTAATAAGTCTCTGCAGACACAATATGTACCTAGGCTCTGGAATCATGCTGTTGTTGTCCCTGTTCTTAAATCCAGCTGTCCTGCAACTCTGAATGATTTTAGACCAGTCGCTCTGACTTCAGTTTTAATGAAGATTTTTGAGAGGCTGGTCAGATCGGAGGTCCTGAGGCAGACTGAACATGTACTGGATCCTTTGCAGTTTGCATATAGGCCTCACAGAGGAGTGGGTGATGCCACATTTACTCTGCTCAGTATGCTGTGGGACACACGCCAGGCTTTTATTTGTGGATTTTTCTTCTGCTTTTAATACAATCCAGCCTCACATTTTAATTGAAAGGCTTCTACAACAATTTGATTTGAGTAATAATCTGGTAGGTTGGATTTTAGATTTTTTTTTAATCAACAGGACACAGAGTAAGGGTCAATGGCATATTATCTGACCAGAGAGGTTCTTTGACTGGTTCTCCTCAAGGATGTGTGCTGTCACCTTTACTTTTTATTCTCTATATGTGTTAGAGTAGATGTGACAATAGAACTATTATAAAGTATGCCGATGACTCAGTTATTGTTAGTCTCCTCAGTGATGGTGAAAGTAGCCATGGTTCAGTCATTGAGGATTTTGTC